GTGCTATCAGTATCAAAGTGCAGTGTCTCTGAGCTACTTTCTGTAGAACTAAGTGGAGCAGAACTGGAGGAGGGAATGCATATATATGCATACATCCCTGTCCAACATACACTCAGTGCATTTGTTCCAAAGGCTACTTCCATTGGAAATGGGGAGCAAATTAAAACACTTAAAGCCTCTTTTCCGAAATCACAAACAGATCGATATTTGGCGGATTGAATCACTGAAAAATATTCTTCACAATATTTTGATTCGGGCTCCTTTAATTTCTATCAGTCGAATGCCTAATCAGCCCCTGGATAAACTGTCCGCAAGGATGTTTCTCTTACTCGGTATCTGGGCTGCACTGAAAACAATGTTGTGACTCTTCGTCCACTGAAAAATCTCTCATGTCAGAAGACAGAGTAGAAATGATCTTGTGCCTCTCTCCTTGTTTATGTACTAGGCAACTGTCGAGTTGTTGCACCAGAGGAGGACTCGCTTGTTCCTGATCTGAGGCAAAACTGCATCAAGGCCAACTGAACAGCTTTCATTCTAGCCAGTTTATATTGTGGGTCTGTTGAGACACATTCACTTCCCCGAAATTTAAAATGTGACTAAAGGGGCTCCCCAACCCATATCTGATGCATCTGTCCATAGAACTACTGGCTCTTCCTGGTAAAGAAGAATGTTGGTCCACCATTCTAAATGAATGACCATCTGATGGGTATCAGGGCAAACAAAATGTCTGTGTGGTTGCCATAAAGACAAGAAATAAAATTGGTTTGGCCGCATATGTACAATGTAAGCAAGCCAATGGGATTAAATCTATACATGTTGTCATTAGACCCAGAGGCCTGAGAAACTTGAGTGCTCGCACCGATGTTGATCTAGGGAATTGTGTAATTATCTTCAGAGATTCTGAAACTTTTCTTCAGACGGATACACTGCTCCCGTTGTCCAACTGAAGTGCGCCCCCAAATAGTCTATATCCTGAGTTGGTATCAGTTGCGACTTTTGCCAGTTTACTAACGATTCACGTCTCTCTGTGCATCGCATGCATTCTTTGTAAGACCTACCGATTACTACAAGTTGTCGGTACTGACCTAATTAAGTAGTTCAAGGTAAAATTAACAACAAAAACAAACTAAACCATGACTAAAAAGCACAACAGCGATCAAAATAACTTCAGAATTACAAGTTCAACCAATTATTTGAATGATAGAAGTAAAGCAATAGGTAAATGCCTGAAAAAAAAATTCACCGGAGAAAAACCCGAGTGAAATCAATATATGGCTGCCCGAACATATACTGAAGTACCCGGATGTCAGGTATTAGAGAGTGGTTAAAAATAATGGACATTTCCAGTTAAGAGTGCAACGAGCTCGAACTCGTACTCTGTACTTCGATATATAAGGGGCCGTATAAAAAGGAGTTTTACGTTAGACGGATTTTATGTAATTTTCCATGACCAAAAAAAAAAAAAAAAAACAAAAAAAAAAAGACAAGTTTAATTTTAGTATAGATTTATCATTTGTTTTCTTCTGCATGATAAAGCAGCGCAAATATTGACTGTTTGTCTTATTTTGTACTTTGGATGCCTCCACAAAATGCCTATGGCACGGAACAATTTTATTTCTCGAATTACATGTTCAACATTTATTCTGTGTGTATTTATTTTTCTGTTTAATTTTTAGCCGGGCTTATTGCTCAAAGAGCAATTGCCGGCTTATGTGATCCTGTTCAAGGCAGGATGTTGACCCCATAGTCGCCATTTTAAAGTTACGTGCAAAATATAGTTCTTACTCTCAACCGCTTTTGAGATAATACAAACGCTAAATAAAGCAACAAAAATAAAACTAAGTTTTTTCTATATAAAATAAACATTAGTAGTTATGACTTTGAAAACTTCATAAGTCAAAGAACATAGTTCATTAGCGTAAGGATTTTTGATAATCAGTGTTACCGTAGTTCTCTACACATACGAGGTAAAGCAGGAGAGGGAACCAGGCTGGCCTGTTTGTTTATGTTCAGCTGCGGTACCAGATTAATTCTGATTCTGACAAAATCGGACCGTGGTATTAGGATTGAAAAACTCACTGTCAGTGTCTTATCATTTATATTGATAGTTTTAAAATAATTTTTTCATCAGAATATAAACGTGATTCATGTAAGAAATCCATTCTACTCTGTAAATGAGCCCGGCTCTCTGTACTTCTGAGTACTTTGATCTTCATTGTCGCTGCTGATGTGCAGGTCGTCTATTTATCTCTGCACGGGTGTACGCAGTGACAAAGGGATCTCTATTAAGAAAATTTTGTCCCTGCTTAGGATAACGCACTCGTTTGGAAAGGGTAGTGCTTGGTTTGGGCCGAGAGCTGGTAAAAAATTCAGTATCTGTGCATCGTTTTGATGTCCAAGAAACCCACTACGTACAAAATCGAAGAGTGTTGGGATTTTGATTATAACAATTGTATGAATACAATGAAAATATCTGCGTCTAATATAATAAAGAGCCGGTGAAAAACTTTATTTAAAATAATATCGCATTGTTGAATTTTTTTATTTTTCTATCTTGGATATTCTTGAAATGCTACATACTACGTTGCATTATCTAGGAAAAAGTGTTTTTGTTTGTATTTAAATAATTAAATTTTGACACGGCCCCTAAAAATTTTGAACAACTGTCAGAGTCGCAAAATTAGGAAATGTCTAATACAAACATAGTAGTAGGAGTCCATGACATATTGGAAATTGTTCGATGCAGGTAAGTATAGATACTGAAATAAACTAAGACATTCACCTTCTGATCACGATTCGTTGTCGTTACATTAATTGTGGACAATTTTTTTTAATTTGTAAAAACAAATTAAAGGGACAGTAAATATTGGGTATGTTTTTATTGATATACCGGGAATATGAAACACCTTTCAAATACAAATGTGCTTTGAAGAATGGCAAAATATAATTTTGGGAAGGAAAAAATTCATGGAGGTTCCTTAAATGCAAATATAATCATGATAAGGTATGCGTCAGCATATAATTTTTATAGTTGATTCTTTAATTTCTTTAGATATTTTTTTTTTTAGTAAAAAGACAAGTTTTGGAATGAAACATATGATGATAATGAACAGTGTTCAAGATCAAAAGTCCATAAAACAGTATGAATTAGGAGCAGAGCAAGCACAGACCTCCAGAACATCAGAGGTTGGATTAGATGCCATGGAGGAGTGAGCATCCCCTGCCGTCCGGTCACACCCGCCGTGTGCTCCTTGTCATTAACGGGAAATACTAGTAACGGAAAATCCGTCGTTAATTAAGTCTATAAATAATGGACAAACAATGAGTGTGAAAAACGTAAGTTAAGCTGTTGATTTTGGTAAAATCTTGTGATTTCAAATTGTTCTAAAGTTCCTTGGAATTTTTAAGTATCCACATGCATCTGATTTACACCACTTCTTGAATATATTGTTGCACAGAACTCTTGACGTTTCTCCTCCCTACTGTCAATATCTTGGTGAGGAGTAAAGAAAGAGGCTTGGTTGAACATCATGGAACCCGCAATGTACCGGTATCTTTGTTTGTAAGGATTCTTATTAAGTTTCGGAATCCAGTATATATGGTAGTTCAAAATCATTTTGATTCTTTGGGATATTAAAAATATTCGAAACTGACATATGATTTTGAATATTTTTTTCCTATAGGGAACAATGAGTATAAGTTGGATTACCACTTGTAGAATTCAATCCAGGTTCTTTGAAAATTCAATTTATATAATGGGCCTTAAAACGAAGGCAATGTTTTTACCTCCTTTGTCAGCAGGACCGAAGATTATCAATGACCAAGATTGACATTTTTATTAAGGCATATTTGCACGTACTACATTAGTCAAAGTGCGCATATTTTTAATAATTCACGCAAAACAAGGATTATACATGGTTCAAAACCAGGCTTCTCTTCTATTGATTTGTGTGTTTAATTTGACTGTTAAAATTTTAATTCTTATGTATTTAAAAAAGATACAGCTTTGCACACTTTTTATACCCCCGCTTGAAAAGCGGGAGGGTATATAGTAATCGGGATGTCCGTCCGTCTATTATGCTTTGGGGTACCCATCTCTTACATGTATCCGCAACTACTATTATACCACTGAATGAAATTTGCTGATCTTTATTGCATTATGCCAGTATGCACCTTCTATTTAACTTTTTGATCCGACACATATTTTGGGTTCCCCGTAGCAAAACATGGACACTGCCATTATATTCGTATGGGAGGCGAGGTATCATTTAGTGAGCTCATTGCTCACAATACTTCTAGTTATCACTTTTTTTTCACAAATTATGTCAAATTTTCTTATAATAAATACTTTTGTAATATTTGGATGAGATGGATGCGCTGGCGCGCCGACTACAATTCGCCACCTAGAACGACGACATACCGTTATATGTATTACATATCAGACACGCTACAGGGTATCTTTTAAATATAGATTAATATATCCTTCCACTTTGCAGAAATGCCACCAAAATATGTGAAATAGGGGGTGTACCACCATTTAAAGAAGGGGTAACAGGAAAAGAACAGATGATCTTCATAAAGGCCATCCCACAATCACTGTCATTGAAACTTGCCGTTTTTCGGTTACGAATGTTAAATACATCCGTATTTGAATCGTAATTTGGATTCTCCATCTAAGATTTTCACATATTTAAGGATAATCCTGGAGTGCTGATGAAACTGGATTTCAGACTGGAAAAAATGATAGTCCCCCCACCCAAACAAACACACTTTTTGCACACATCACCAAAGGTATAAACAGGCCTTTGAAGCAGCGATCATGCATGCATGCGTGTCTACTTTGAGTTTACGAAAAACAAATACCGGGATTGGTTTCATAGTCGATAAAGTTTCTTTTAATTGGTAGATACTGGCGAGTATTATAGTCTTATACAAGAAAAATGTTTATTTTATTAAGTGTTTATTCCAAGAAGAACTGAAATAAATATGATTAATATTAACAAATTTAAAGCAAAATGATATCATAAACTTGATTAAAGCAGGTTGGTACAATTGTTTTTCTAATATACAGTATTTTTCATCTCTGAACAATCTAGAAATATAATAAGGGCTATCATTCATGCAAGAACATGTATATTATCAGAAGTTTTATAAATTTTAAATGTCAACCTATCTTCTTCATGTATCTTTTGCACACCACATTTCCGACGTACATTGTCTGGAAAAAAAATATTGCACATTAATAATTATTTACGTAACATATTTTTAATGTTTTCCTATTATGTCACAAATTAAGCAAGATTCACTATAAACCTGACGAATGCTGAATCACACCGAAATACTACCATACCGGTATTACAACCCGGAAATAGTTGTATCAACCGACGGAAGCCGGTACATGCAAGCAATGTACCACTTGAAAAGGTGGTGTTATAATTTATATTTTAATTTGACCATAAATTGACTTTTTAAAAAAAAAGTGCTTATGTTGATTTCTTCATAAAACATACATAAAAACAGTTGTTTTATCCTATACACTTAATTCCACCCTAAAATTTCCGGGGCCAATGTCTTGTGGTACATGACGTAAAGTTATATTTGAGATTGCTAATATTCGTTTTCTACACAGTTCTAAGTTGACCGCGATTGCTCTTCGCAGACTAGATATAGGATCTTTTTTTTAATGACATCGGAGAAATGATGTTCATTCTACTCATTTACATATTCGTAATACTGGAGCTATAATGGCGGCATAACTTGCAAAAAATTAAAACCTTTTTCGGATAAAGTTCTTCCGCCGATGTTATGATTTATCTTTATATCTTCTACTGGAAATAAAAATGATGTTGATGTTAAAGTGAAAGTTGCGACCGCCATTTTAGGTCACCTGAGTAACTCAGGTGACTTATTGCTATCCGTTTTCGTCCGTCATCGTGTGTCGTGCGTCGTGTGTTAACATTTGAACATTTTCAGCTTCTTCTCTAAAACCACTTCACCAATTTCAACCAAATTTAGTATACAGCATCTATGGGTGAAGGGGAACAAAAATTATGAATTTTATGGTCCCCGCCCCCCTGGGGCCTGAGGGGTGGGGCCAAAACCACTAAAATTATTGCAATTTTTAAAAATCTTCTTCTTTACTCCTGGACATCAAGCAGGCAAACTGTTGGCATGAATGTAATGAGCATTGAGTACTCTACCAAAATTGTGAAATTCATGGCGCCAGGGTCAGGGGTTCTGGTGTTAGGGTGGGGCCCTATTGATTATATAGTGAAAATGCATTAATTCTTTGAAAATCTTCTTCTCTGCTCCTGGGTATTAAATAAACTAACCAAGCACATAGTTATGATGAGCAAGATCGAGTGCCTCTTCCAGAATTGTGAATTTTATGGCCCCAGGGTCATGGGTTCTGAATGTTAGGGCGGGGCTCTATTGATCTTATAGTGAAAATGCATTAATTCTTTGAAAATCGTCTTCTCTGCTTCTGGGTATTAAATAAACTAACTAAGTACATAGTTATTATGATAAGCAAGAGTTCCTCTTCCAAAATTGTGAATTTTATGGCCCCAGTTAAATAATCATCTTTCCATTTGTCTAAAAGATCGATTTCGTATTATAACATTAACAAAACCTACAATATTTAAAACGTCAATATTTCATGTCCTGAATTAAGTGACCTTATCATAAAATAAGATAGGCAACCAGGATCAATTATTTATCATACCGATTTTTGTAAGAATATTTATCAGGCTTTACAATTTTTCAAAGTGCGTTAATATGGTCAATATCAACGCAATTTGAAAATAAAATTATTTTTTCAAAGTGCGTTAACTTGGTCCCAAATTAACGCACTTTGAAAAAATTTTTCAAAGTGCGTAATTTTTCAAAGTGCGTTGTAAGATGGCAAAGTTCTTCCGCCGATAAATAGGTGCAAACGAATGTTTATTTTTACAATCGCGCTAAATTCTACGTATATATCCATGGCAGGGGCTTAAAGAAATAAATCTTCTTTATAAATTCAAGAAATGGTATAATTTGAGTGTTTGCAGGATCTTATGAATATAAATGAGAAGTAAATCACGTGGGAGCAAGCTCTGAAATAAACTGCACATCATTTCTCCATATGTGTTCAATATGTTTGTGAAAAGAGCAAGTATTATTCTTACCAAAACAATTTCATCGCCAACTCTTTCCTTGTGAACAATCTGTTCCTTAATCTTAGATGTCGGATCTACAGGGGTATTTATCATTTTTAAAACACCGTCCTCGTACGTTGCAGTTGCCTAAAAGAGAATTAAGTGTTTTTGAATAATAAGACATATTTTCCAAATACAGCAGCGACAAAAAAAACTAAAATATTGGTTGTGAAGTATAGAACATGGGATAAAATAATCTCCCATATCCATCTCGTTGTGTGTTTTTATCCCCTCGCCAAGGCTCCAGGATAACTCGTTGGATAAAATCTTTATCTAACTACAAAGTACTTGATTAAATTAAAAAACAACAGAAAAGTAACAAGTATTTTAATTGCAAGTGACCCAACCACGTTACCAAACCAGTGTATCATTTTAACCATCCTATAGATCAAAAACATCTCCGGTAGGGCTTTATTTTAAACGTCTATTACTTTGCTAAAACGTAACTGGGACAAATTTAATCCTGCAGTATATAGGTTAATAATTTAAGTTCTTTGAAGTACTATATAATAGTAATGTAATTAATAGACAATCAAACAACTCTAGACTTCCATTTTATTATTAGTAATTATATTTGACCGCAAGTTTTTTTTATCAACCAGTTTCATCAGAGTACTAATCCATTTGCTTTAAAACACAGACTCTTTGATTTCTACTTCTTTCATCTCTTCATCTTCCCCTCGTTATTTCCTATGATTTGCCATAAATCCGCCGAATATTAACTTACATGCTTTTCATACCTTCAGAGATATTAAACAAAGTCATTAAATGCTCCCATTCCGGGAAAATGGTTCAAGTTACCTTCATGACTGTTTTTTGCATTTCTTTTAGGAACTCCTCGTTAAGATTAAAGCAGTCTTCCTGGGTGAAAAATCCTGTTTTCATTACTATTTTGATTTTATTGTTACTTTCTATGCTTATAGTCATTTCCGGTTTCGCTAGAGATGCCATCTTCCTGAGGGGTAAACCCACACCTACAAAAGGTTGACAAGGTTACATTACACATGCAAGCCTTTTTAAATTATTAGAATGTAAAGTGCAAAGATAAAGAAGTAAGAACTTGACAATTAATCGACACATACAAGGGTTGTCCTAAAAAGAGTCAGGAGACAGGAAAAATAGTTTAGTTTCTCTTTGCTTAATCAAATTAATTTTCCTGTTATAGTAAAAAGCAACATTTTATGATCATGCATTTCAAATTTCATGATAATATCACACATTCAACAAGAAAACAAGTTTAAAATAAAGAAAGCATATAAAAGTGTACATCGGCGCACGAAAGCAAGCGTAAGAATTTACGTCTCTTATAACGTCATGATCAATTTTTAAATACAACCTCATGTGCTTAACACGTGTCTCTTAAGCATCCAATTATTTTTATAAAAGTAAAAAAAAGAAACACTCTTGACTGAAGGACTCATTTTAATTTACTACTGTCCATTTTAACTACTGTCAATTTATTAATCAGGATTGTATTTCGGTCGAAAAATCACCTTACATTGTAGGCAGCAGAAAAAACACAATGTTTGACGTCGGTCGTGGCCCATAACGTTCCCCCCGTCTGCTTTTGACAAACATTACTCCACTTCACACAGGTGTAACTATATGTGGTATAGAGGTGAAAACTATCATTGAATCTTATACCATTTGAAAAGATCTCTAATAGGTTATACTGTGTAAAAGCATTTCCGTTTTTTTTTTTCGTGTCTGATGTGGATAAAGAACATTCAAAATAATTAATCACATCCCCATGCGCCGCTAACGCGTTTGACGACGTCATTTTCGGCAAACCCAGTTCCGACAACACTTCAAAAATCACGACACCAATATTTGCCTCTGATGCTATTTATATGAAAAATTGACATTTTTTTTATTTCAAAAAGTGACATGTCAAGTTAATATATAATAAGATTTTTAGTCACATTCACACACACATTCACACTTCCCCTCTGATTTTAAACAAAAATGAAATATACTCAACAAAAAAAGTTAAGGGTTATCAAAACCTTCATTTATAATTTCTACATCGAAAAAGTATATTTATTCAAAATGAATTACATAGTTTCCTCTGTAAAGTTCCTACACGTCTGATAATATAAAAAACTAATGGTAATTGTTCACATGGACAGAAGAACAAGATTACCGATTATGGATACCCTCCTATTCAAAGTGAATTTCCATATACAGTAATTGCATGATTTGTTTAATTCAAAACTGACAATCATCCAACAACTCTCAAAACTTGGTATGGCCTCCCCTTGCCTGAATAACAGCCCTGCATCGCCATTGGAAACTTCGAATGAATGAACGGATGGTTCTTTGTGGTATCCAATCCAATCTTTCTAAAAGAATAACTTCAAGTCCATTGGTACTGCATGGAGCAGGATACCGCTGCTGAATTTGCCTTTGAAGAACATCCCAGACATGTTCAATAGGATTGCGGTCTGGTGACTTCGAGGGCCACTACATTCTATACATAGTCTCTGTCTCAAGGTACTGGTTCACTATGTTTGCTTTGTTTGGTCTGACGTTATCATCCATTAAAACAAATTCTGTCCCTATTGCATCGGCAAATGTTCTTGCAATTGGCTGAAGGATATCATCTCTGTATCTGATACCGGTCAGTGCTCCATTTCTGATGATGTACAACCCCGTGGACCTCTGAATAGAAAGGCCTCCCCACACCATAACAGAACCTCCACCAAAGCGATTATGTTGAGCCACGCAACAGTCACTAAAACGTTCATTCTTCTGTCTCCACACTCGTTACCTTCCATCATTAAAATCCACACAGAATTTTGATTCATCACATCAGTTTATAATAAATTTCAGAATTGAAATTTCTTTTACTTAACTACAGTTATATACACAACCCTTAATTTTTGTTGTTGAGTATATTAAATAAACAGTATTTCATTCAAGAAATATGTAAAGTTGGTGTTTTAATAAATGTTTATAACTCAAAAATATTAATCCACGGTGACCATAGATTTTCAAAATTGTTCATTGTAAATTTTTGAATTGATATGCATTTTTCTACTTTGTACTTAAGAGTTAAATGATGTAGCAGCCCAGTAATCATAGGTATTTTGTTCTGCTTTAGACAAGAAACAATATATTGCTTTGTATATATATTAAAAAAAAAGGAAATTTATCACCCTATTATGATAAGAAAATGGCATTTCACCTAAAATAATATTGCATGTGTTAAATCCAACTCTTTTAGAAGTTTTTGTAAATATGTGCATACTAAGATTACTCCATAGTGAAGAAATTTTTGTACAATTCAAAAATATATACTGAAAGGAAAAAGAAACGCATATTTTACTTTTAAATTAAATTAAAACTATTATTTCGAAAATGTTTTCAAGTATTGTTATCAAACATTTTAATTCATCTTTAATCTACAAGTTACCAAAATCTTTTGTGACTTTGACTGATAATTCCTGAGTTATTGAAATTGATATGTCGATACCCTCCAAAATTAAAATAAAAATTCTCATAATCTCCCTTGCACATTGATAACAGCCTTGACTTTCCTGTGCATTGAGTTCACCAGAGCATTTATCTTTCTCATTTGATTATTATTCAACTCTTCCGACAATAGTCTTAATGGTTGATAGAAGCTGTATTATTCCAAAGCCAACATATCCCCCCGCCAAATGAGTGCCACGAATTTTCATTTTAGGATAGAATTTACAGAATCCAGCTGGTTTGGTACACGTGAATGTTATTGAGAAAGTCTCGACAAACACTGGCTACATTTTCCCAGTGTGAACATGCTAAAAACATTACGCACACGACGTGTACGTGCGCGCGTGAGAGTAAAATCGACGTAAAAGTTGCCAAGCTCGCGGACCAAATTTTAGGGTGAAAATATTGGTATGATAGTTTGCTGTATAAATATCGGTTTCAGTGATAATACCTTGACAACAACCGAGGTGACATGATGAAAAGCCCTGTCTTGATGTGACGTTGTTACGCGTCAACGTCACCGCCATGGTTGGTTGGAAACCTTTTAATTTACTCTCTGACAACTGAAAAACCCTTTCTTGTTGAAAAGTTTAGAACAAACTGCACAGCAACATCTTGTTGCCTTTTTATTCACTTACGCAATTCAATTACTGGAACCATTGTAACTTCCGTCAGCCATACCATGATTGCATGAAATTTATACTGATTTCAAATGCGGAAAACGATGTCTATAACTCCAATGCATCGATTAGCACCACAAAATGTGATCATAAAATTGTCATCATCAACATACACGTGTTTTTGGCTTTTTTTTCCCCTACGTGACGCCATACATTTCATGGTTATGCAATTTTGACCAGCAATTTTAGTGCACAGTAATCAAAATACACATTGACCAATTTTCATAATTTTCGGCCATATAGTTAAATAAATTTCGCTATTATGCTATTATGCGTTTCTTTTTCCTTTCAGTATATGTTGTGTTGTTTCTATAATAGATCCTGTTTACAAAAGGTACAATGATCATCAGATAAAATATTTATTTTCTTCAAATAATATTTCACTCGAAGGATTCTATGAAGGATTCTATATTGTAACCATTGAGCAGAAGTATCCACAGTTGTTCTAAAACAAACCTTAAAAACATCCTGAACACAAATATCAAGTTCTAAAAACACTGATAATTAACGTATCGCCAGCTGTCAATCACAACAAATTTTCAACCAATGAAATAATTTCGTTTATTCTGCGCGTTCAGTAAAAACTTGCTCCGCCATCTGCTCCGACAAACAATCTCAGTGGGTTGAGTGGTCGACAATAAACAAATTGAACAAATAAGTCTATGATGGTTAAAAATATGCAGTTGGGGAACGTGTAATATCGCTGACAGGTATCCCGAAAGGGAATTATGGATGTTTCGGGACCGCCATGCTTTGGGACGCCGACGTTTCGAGACCTGACAACACATTTCTGGACTTGGGTTTACACGTTTTGGGACCTCTAAATTAAATATTTTGGTCAGGAAATGAAATAAAACTCGTTTACTTGTTTGTTATGTTTATACATGTATACTTTCTTAGTTTGATACACAAAAAAACCAGTATAAATCCATGCACAGTATACACGGTATAGAGATTCATTTGACAGACTGTCTTTGCGTTAAAAATAAAAAAAAAATACGAATATTCGTAAAAATTCGCAATATGAATAATAGAGTACATGTATGCTTAATCAGTCCATAACACTTCTACATATGTGCATGTTTTACCCTCAAAATAATTGTCAAAATACATACACATTTTAAAAGAGAACTATACGCTTTTTGAGTTTTTAATTTCACATTTATCGTGTTGACTTGTGTCTGAAAGTTACCGGTTTTTATGACCAGTTATTATTGCATATGTATGCAGGATTAAGTTTAAAACTTTTATTTTTCACTTTAAAGAAAAAATAAATTCGAATTAATCTGCATATTAAAAATGATTCTATTTATCGCTGAAAATTATTTTTCTAATTACCCCCCCCCCCTCCCACTTATTACAAGCATTATTTAATTTATTAAGAACACCATCATGTATTTGCAAAATATCGAAATTATTTAATAACTTCACTTTTTATATAAAGACATACATTGTCATTACCGGTATTATAATCAATATAGTGTATCTGTAACGAATTAGTCCGACTTTGTTATATGAGGGTTGTCCCAGAAAAACACGAACTTTGTATATTAGATTTGTATACATAATATATATCTGACCATAATTATTCAAAATCTTCATGCACTACTATATATTATTGCTTAAAAGTGTGCACATTTTGCACCAGGACTTAAAGGTAAAGAAGAAAGTTTTTTCCAGAGTTGATATTATCGGCGTCCGAGAGATTTACGGAATGACCATTTGATTCGGGAAGGGGAGAGGGGCTTGCAATTAATTTTTTTCAGAGACAGAGTCAGATTATTTATTGTCGTGTCGGTGAAGTACGGATGATTTATTTCCAATGGCATATTATTTATTGGCCGCTTCACTGAAAAAGTCTAACAAGCCAAAAAAAGGGGGGACAATCCAAGATTATTGTGGAGGTGGTGTGGGCATATTATTTATTTTCTTCGATTTGAGGACATATTATTTATTTCCAAAACTGATTCAGCATTCAATTCCTTTATCAGCCAGACACCCCCCTTTAGAATCAAAGGATCGTCCCGTTATAGATAGGAACTAAAAGCATGTCTTGACAATGTCGTATGGGTTTTGTATATTATTGCTGATTTAATAAAATTATTACTTTACAAATTGAATGAAAGGTCGTTGTCGTAATTTATCATTTACATGTACCCACATTTGCAGTCGCAATGTGCTTCTGTCATTGTCGACATGGATGTTTACAGTATGAGGGAACTCGGACTTCATCATGCTTCGATAAACTTTGCCAGAAAGGGATAATACGGAATCATTTTTTAATATTTTAAGTGAATGAAATATATGAAAGCTTTTATAAAAGCATTTGCCCTTTGTTTTGTCTCAAAGTGAGTTCGTATGGCAAATATTTTGCAGCAAAATCATCAGGAACTTTGGACAAGTCAACCGGCGTCGACTTATACCGAGTTACACGCTATGTTGATGATGTCGGAGCATCATAGGAGTTATCTCCCATAGCGCGATGGGCGGAGTTTGGCGATACGTTAATTCCTGGTTCCATCTAAATATTGATGTAGGAATGACATTGTTACTATTCAATATTTATAAATTATTTTAGTGCACTTTTCATATACAATAATGTTTTCAAAATAAAAAGGAATAAAAGGGGTACATTCCCTCTTAACAGATGATTTATCTATAGATATTGTTTTTAAAAAACCTGGATATAGCACAGATATCTTATACCATTTGTGTCTGATTGGATAAAGAACATTCAAAACAATTAATCACATCCCCGTGCGCCGCTAACGCGTTTGACGACGTCATTTCCGGCAAACCCAGTTCCAACAACACTTCAAAAATTACGACTCACATCAATATTTGCGTCTGATGCTATTTATATGAAAAATTGACATTTTATTAAGATTTTGATTCAGGATTCGCTGATATAAATATGAGTTTAATGCTTTACGTAGTAAAAAAAAAACACATACAAATGTAATTAGTTATATGTGTAAATTATTCCGAATTTTGTTCGTGCGCCGATAGACCATATCGGACTTTCTATAAAACGTATTATTAATATGAACGTTGAATAATTAAGAACTCATTATTTTAAGGAACATTTAATGTACTATAGATATCCAAAATTTGTTTAGTAATTGGTTAAACGTGTACAAAGGTGTAAACATTGTCTACGACTTTCTGGAACAACCCTCTTACATATGAAAAATTCTATAATCTTTTTTTTTTTGAGCTGTGAGTACTTTTCATCGAAAGGTACTATTAAAGTACAACGGGACTTAACTCCTGCAAGTAAGAGCTACCGGTATAACATAGACTTATAGATCTTCCTTTTCTCTCTGTTGTTTTAATCATGTGCCTTACCCACTTCGTTAAGAAATTCCTGAAAATTTTCACTTCTGTCTAATTTCCAAACACCCACAAACTTCTCTTTAATTTCGTCAAGCGCCATTATTATTTTAAATAGTGTTAAACTTGTCTATCTCGTTATCGCTTCATTGGTTATCTTTTTGTTTACTTATTTATCTTAGTGTTTGAGATTACTAGGTTCAAATATTCATTCCTATCAACATACCATAAATGGAGATTATTTCAAAAGCAAAACATATTTCATTTTGTAACATCCTGTATATGAAGAAGTGCCCCAAAATGTGGACATTTCGGTAATAACTTCAATAGATCTATGGTTTGTCCCTTAGAATAATCTAACTGTGTCTCTGGACAAGTATTCACCATGGTTAGAATGCCTCTAATATACTCGCTATGTAGCACAAAATTGCAGAATGAGAATCGCTTCAAAACAATTTTGAAGAACGCACAAGCATTTGCATTTAAAAAAACTATCAAAGTAATTAAAAGTAACCTTTTTGAGGTTGTGTATGCCTTATACCTAAAATTAATCCATATGAAAATTGTTCTCAACGTCTTTTTCTCACTTCACAATTACAAACGATTGACATTTGTCAGTAGAATAAATAGGAAATTGATATCAGATTCATACCAAAATGAGTCCCGCCATATGACATGCATCTACAAATTACCGGTATGTGCAAAGATTTCGAGCACCTGCGATGAGTAGTTGCTGAGAAAATTACGGCCAATTATTTTATATGTATGGTACGGATAAATAAGAAGTTGATATCGCATTTGAACTAAAATGAATTACACTATATGTGGCATGCCTCAGCAAAGAATGTGCAAAGATTTGCTCAGAGTAGTTACTGCTACCAAAATTCGTTATGTATTATACGGACAGGCGCACAGGTAAATAGGAAGGTGACGTCAGATGTGAACAAAAATGAGTTCCAACATATGCACACCTACTAATGTTATTGTGATTTAAACTCAGTTATAGGGTAGAACCGGTTTTATAAATAAAATTGGCAGTAAACAGGAATTGCTATAGTCTGTTTCTTTTGAAAACGTCTTGTGAAAATTGTGTTTCCAGACCTTTCTGAAAGACTTTCATGATTTTCAACAGAAATTGGTGGCTTAAGAGGGAGGGGTAAATAACAATTAATATATCTTATTCTAGTTTACTGCAAAAATTACAGCTCACCAGCGACCGATACGCTGGAAAAAATGTGTAATATCATATACAAAGACAAACGTTTGTTTACCTGATATGGCTATTGCTATTAATGCGCACGGAGGATCTTACCACGAGCAACTGACCAATTGTTGATCGAATACGTTTACGCTAAATACATGTTTACATGTTACTTCGAACACGTGGTTCCGGTCAATCTATGGTCATGTCAGTGAGTGCAAAATAAAAAAAAGTGTTCTTATTAACAAAATGCAAACATTAGAAACTATGAAAAATATCACAGGCGCTTTTAATTTGTTGTTAAATAGACAAGAGGCCCACGGGCCTTATAGGTCACCTGAGCATTATGCAACATTTATCTAGTTATTGAATTTGATTCATGTTTTAAGCCAGATGCTATATGACATTCACAATTTTGAAAGAGGCACCATTGATCATCATAACAATACACTTAGCAGTTGCTTAGCTTGGTTACTGAATACCCATATGCAGGGTAGGGGAACAAAAATGCATTCCAACTAACCAGTAGTGCCCCTAACACTGTGACATAAACCCATGACCCTAGGTCCACACATTGCACAAATTTCAAAAAGGCACCCTTAATATAAAAAAATAAATGTTTTATAAATACAAAAGAGCAGATTTCAAACAAAAAATTCATTTTCAGTATATAAGTAGAGCCCCCACCCCACCCCTGACCCTGGGGCTTTGAAATTCACAATTCTGCAAGATTAGGGCCCTTGCTCATCATAACTATAAAGGTAGTTAATCTGCTTTATACCCAGAGACAAAGAAAAAAAATTTCAAAGATTTAATGTATTTTCATTATATAATCAATTGAGCCCCCGCCCCCCTAACACCAGAACCCCTGACCCTGGGGCCATAAAATTCATAATTTTAAAAGAGGCATTCTTGCTCATCATAACTATGTACTTAGTTTATTTAATTCCTAGGAGCAGAGAAGAAGATTTTCAAAGAATTCATGTATTTTCAATATATAATCAATAGAGCCCTGCCCTAACACCAGAAACCCTGACCCTGGGACCATAAAATTCACAATTTTGGTAAAAGCACTCTTGCTCATCATAACTATGCACTTAGTTAGTTTATTTAATACCTAGGAGCAGAGAAGAAGATTTTCAAAGAATTCATGTATTTTTACTATATATAACCTATAGAGCCCCGCCCTAACACCAGAACCCTTGAGCCATAAAATTCACAATTTTGGTTGAGGCACTCTTGCTCATCATAACTATGCTTTTAGTTGGTTTATTTAATACCTAGGAGCAGAGTAGAAGATTTTCAAAGAATTCATGTATTTTCACTATATAATCAATAGAGCCCCCTCCCCTAACACCAGAACCCTTGACCCTGGGGCCATAAAATTCACAATTTTGGTAGAGGCACTCATGCTCATCATAACTATGCACTTAGTTAGTATATTTAATACCCAGGGGCAGAGAAGAAGATTTTCAAAGAAATCATGTATTTTCACTATATAATCAATAGATCCCCGCCCTAATGACAGAACCCCTGACCCTGGGGCCAAAAAATTCACAATTTTGGTAGAGGCACTCATGCTCATCATAACTATGCACTTAGTTAGTTTGTTTCATACCCATGGGCAAAGAAGAAGATTTTAAAAGAAATCATGTATTTTCACTATATATAATCAATAGAGCCCCTTCCTAGCACCAGAACCCCTGACCCTGGGGCCATAAAATTCACAATTTTGGTAGAGGCACTCTTGCTCATCATAACTATGTACTTAGTTGGTTTATTTAATACCCAGGAGTAGAGAAAAAGATTTCCAAAGAAATAATGCATTTTCACTATATACTTATTTAGCCCCGCCCTAGCACTAGAACCCCTGACCCCAGGGCCATGAATTTCACAATTTTGGTAAAGGACTCAATGCTGATTACAATCATGCAAACAGTTTGACTGCTTGATGTCCAGGAGTAAAGAAGAAGATTTTTAAAGATTGCATTAATTTTAGTGGTTTTGGCCCCACCCCTCAGGCCCCAGGGGGGCAGGGATCATGAAATTCACAATTTTTGTTCCCCTTCACCCATAGATGCTTTAGGTCAAATTTGGTTGAAATTGGTTCAGTGGTTGCAGAGAAGAAGCTGGAAATGATCAAATGTTAACACACGACGGACGACGAACGACGACGGACGAAAACGGATAGCAATAGGTCACCTGAGTTTACTCAGGTGACCTAAAAATACATATATATAATAAAATGTATACGTAGTTATACGTAGTTAGTGTCACGTGATAACGTGTGTTGGCCAGAGAATCCACTTGACAATTGTATTCACCGATAGTACAATAAAGGAATTTATCAAGCGTAAAATTCCTGTAGTATTTGTAGTAACCCATAATGCAATTCTCATTCAGCTGATTTGTCAGTTTAAGTCACATTGGTGCCTCATTTGCTAATCTGACGCCCAAAATATAGTCCCGGTTCCCATGCAAAATATTTGTCCAAAAAAATCTTAATTCATGACAACAGAAAATTGTATCATAGAGAATACTTATAATTTAAATTTGAATGAATTCAAGAGAGATCGATTGAAGTACATTTCTACAGAACAATATTATAGGGTGGTGAAAACTAAAACGCAACATAACTTTTCTGTTTACAATGTCTCCACGTGCTAGTCACTTCCTAGCCACATTTCCGTGAAAAAATTTAACATATCTCGCTGTAGTCTCGCTAACTCTCACCAGAGCTACTGTCAGAGCTACTCTGAACTCATCGGGTTTAAAAATTTGCAGAACACCAGAAAAATAAAAGGTTCCGAACACATTAGTAGGGGTGATATGGCATGCCCCAGCAAAGAATGTGCCAGAATGTCAAGCATCTGCGATTAGTAGCTGCTGAGAAAACTGCGACCAAAACTTTGTTTCAGACATAAATGGGTAAAACACTATACCCCTCTTCTTTGAAGCGGGAGTATAATCAGCTCAATATCTGCACACGTTTAGAAAGGAGTGCAGAAAACCAAGTGGGGCAGAGGGTCGGGTGGATAGACAGACGGATACATAGACTCAGAGGAAACCTCTTCTTCCCTCCGGTTTTACCGGATTACAATCCGGAGGGAACATGAATATAAACCCGGGACTGAAACACGTGTACATGTACTTGTTTCTGTAATAAATCGCGGAGTATGGAGTTGGTTTTTACTACGCGGGTTCGAATCCCACTGTGGGACGTGGAGACTGGTCCTTCGGATGAGATCTTATAAACCGAGGTTCTGTGTCGAAGTAGGTTCTGGCATGTAAAAGATCCCCCTGCACAATTAATTAAACTTCATAAAAATACTTAGAAGCAAAGATACATGGCGGGTTCCAGTAGGTATTTAACCAAGCCTCTTCCTTTACTCCTCATAATCACTAAGATATTAAAAGCAGTGAAGGAAAAGCTTCAAGAGTATTGTGCAACAATTTACTCAAGAAGTGGTGTAAATCAAATGTGGATACTTGAAATTTTCAAGGATCTTTTGGACATTTTGAAATCATACGATTTTACTAAAATCAACAGGTTAAAAATTTACGACTTTTCAACTTTATACAAAACAATTCCCCACAATAAATTAAAGTCCGGACTTTTTGATATCATCGACAGCTGCTTTTTATTAACAATGGAACTCGTAAATTTACTTCATATTTGCAAAATCATTTTTGTTTTAAATTCTGATTGTAGACACAAGTGCTCAGAAGTTGATATCAACATGATGTTTGAGTTTCTGATTGACAATACCTATGTTGATTTTGGAGACCAGATCTTCCAACAATCAATAGGAATTCCAATGGGTACCAATTGTGCCCCGCTTTTAGCAGACCTATTTGTATTTATATGAAGCAGAATTTGTCCAAACTAAGAAGAAAACATTTGCTGTGGCCTTCAACTCGACATTTAGATATATCGACGAT